TCCCAAACCCAAGAGAGCGCAGAGGAGCCGTTCGGCAGGAAAAGTGATGGCAACGTTCTTCTGGGACTGGCAGGGGGGTATCCATGTAGAATTTCTGACAGCTGCCAGAACAGTCAATGCAGCTTATTACTCAGACCTCCTGGCAACAGACGTGAAGGAAAAGATTCGATCCAAGCGGTAGTGAGGTGGAAAGCGGGTAGCCTTCCTTCAAGACAATGCACGCCCCCATACTGTCAAAACAACAATTGAAACCCTCCGGAAATTGAAATGGAACCTTCTGACACATCTGCCGTACAGTCCCGATTTGGCACCAAGTGATTTCTACCTGTTTGGAAGGCTCAAATCAGACTTGCAAGGCATGCGGTTTGTAGACAATGACGCCGTCATCCAGAATGTTCGGGAGTGGATACACCGCCAACCACAAAACTTTTTTGAAAAGGTCATCAGGATGCTTCCAGAATGTTGGAAAAAATGTGTTGACTCTGGAGGGGAGTACGTTGAAGACTGACATGTGCAAGTAAGTGTTTGGCAATTTTGGTTAAAAAAAAAAAGATCAGTCCCGGTCATATTTGAACGACCTTGTATGAATTTCAGAATTCCTTAAGAACATGTGTCTATTATTTACAATATTTATTTACAATAAAGATTAAGCCAAGCAAGAAACCAGCATGAAGCAGGTAGTGAGCACACCTAGCTATTTGCTTCATTCTGGCTTCTTGCTTGGCTTAATCTTCAACCCTGAAGATGGAGGCAACATATTTCTTCAAAGCATCAGTTGATTTTAAACGGACTACATGACATTATATACCAGAAGAGAGAACTCATCATAACCATCCCTATGAAAACCTCAAATCTTACATAATACATTAAAAGTAAAGTAAAGGTATCCCTGTAACAAGCTGTGGATGCCCATAGGGTTGTGGGACATTGAGGCTCCCACATTTTCTAGGCAATCAGCTCACATATGGTGGTGAGGTTGTCACCCTTACACACCGGCCAGCCACCTTTTAACCCCAGGATAATTCCTAGTACTCATTTCTGTTAGAGGCTGAGATGACTCCATGATCACAGTGCGGCTGGAAGGATTAAGTCAACTGAAAAATCCAATGACCTCAATGGGAATTGAACTCATGAACTTCCAGCTTGTAGCATGGTGCCTCAACTAACTGCGCTACCATGTGCCCCCACATACTACATTCAAAAAGTGTAAAATTGAAAATAAGTGAAAAACAAACAGCACTTGCTATATGTTTTGCCTCTCTCAAGCTTTGGCAACCTACATTTAAGTTTCTCTACATTTCAGTAACATCTATTGGAGAAAATGACATTCATGAACACAGTAACAACAGCCCATTATTTGTCAGCACTGAGCACTGGCACAAAGTTAACTTCAACTAATGACAGGACTCACAGTAAATATTTGTAACTGAAATTGGTGAAGAGTATAAAAATAATGGAATTATAAAGTTACTTTGGTCAACATAATACATAACCATTAAAAGTTAATTAGACCCCAAAATAACCCCTTATATGAACACAGTACACAGTACTACTTACACAGGAATTGGAAATGAGACATGGGCTTCACGTTCAGCCTGCTTTACTGTCTGGTAAAGAACCCTTTGTAGCCACTGGATAGGAGGCTGGGTTGGTCTCAGAGCCAGTCTGGACACATTGGTGAAGAGAAAACATGGGAATCGAACCCCAATTCTCCAGTCATCCAGCCTCTTGCCTAATCACTATACAGAATGACCTATCTCAGATCTACATAACATACAATGATTATATATTATCAATTACAAGATCAAAGTTGGGGAAGCCAGCTCAAGGTTTGTGAAAGGTTGATTCTAAAGGGATCTTCATCACAATATTTATTGCATACTTCCTATTATCCCCCTTTGACAAGGACTGGTCTCAAGTGTTTATACAGCTGTAGTTATACTGACATGGGTTGTCCAATGATTGAAGTTAGCTCTTTCTAAGGGACCCAACAGAGTTGGTGTCTCCCCCCCTCACCTGAGGACGGAAACAGAACCAGTTTCCAAAATTATGAGTTCTCTAGTTTTCAGAATACTGGATGATGGACACAGTCCAAAAACCTAATAATTTTGATTGTGAAAGGTTCCTTTAAAATCTTTTAAGAATTATTTTCTGGATATATGACATTTTGGTAATCAAGAGAGTATAATACAACCAATATTCATTGTCACTTTTAAAACATATATGCAACTGTTCTTCATGCAACATGTATATATCCATACATGTTGGATAGACTCACATTTTAGCAACTTGATCCCCTTTACCACAGAATTTTGCTAATTCATCAATCGCTTCCTCCTGTATAACTGTTGAATCAACATCAAAACAAACAGCATCTGCTATCTTCCATATGGCTCGAACCTCCTCTCCAGCTGCCATTTCTGTAGTCTAGATCAACGAAGTCACTACCATAAAAGAAATAAATAATTACATCCCACAATCAACATTAGAACTGATCCATCAGCATATAAAAATACTGTGTCCACTGCAAATTATAAGTTGTTAAAGTGGAATAAACATTTCCTGATGACTGACGAATGGCCTCTCAAATGTTCACATTAAATTTACGATGACATAAACCAACTTATAGACCGTGTAACAATTATTCGCCTTTCTTTTACATCATTATCACCTCTTTCATGATGTCACTGCTAGACGCTGGCAACAGAGTCTTCTATATTTAGAAAACGCCTAGCCCTTATCATTACTGGACAAGGCCCAGGGTCACACTTAACAGCCACATCAGTGACACGATACACAAACCACACTACAAACTTTACTGCAGCTTTTTATCCTAATCTTGAAACAGGCCGCCTTCTATCCTGTTTCGTGCATTTTCGTTGTAAACCCTTGCGCTCGTGTATGGCTTCCTCATTTAACGGGAAGTGGCCAGCAGACTTGTATAATTTACGTCATGGCTTCCTATCAACGAAGTCCATAAATCCATACGATGTGACCCCCTACAATACCAGTTGTTTGAACGATAATTTACACTGTGAACATTTCCAGCTACACAGTTTAAATCTGCTTAAGTTAGACCATATCAAGGTTAGGGTTGGTAAGCGAGTAACTGACATTGAAACTGGGCATTCTTGTTCTTATACGAGCCGGGTAACATTATAATCCATTATAATCATAGTACATGAGCGTACATGAGTAAGCAACGAAATGTATATCCATTTTTCGACAATTAACTATGACCACTATAACATAATTCCTGCGTCTTCAGCACCTCCAATGACAAACCAGGTTTCGTTTGTGCATTGAGCAATCTACCGGAGAAAGCGCAAAGTTCCGGAACACCTTCCTCATTTTAACTTTAAAATCCTGAAGGATAGAATTATTCAGAGTAGTTTATCAAAGCTGCCGGAAAGTTGTTTGCGCATATTTTTCGTAATTAGACCGGCTCTGTGGTCTAGTGGTCAGAGTTCCTGGAGGTAACAGATTTTTCTGAGAAGTAGTGGGTCTGGAACGGGATCCACTCAGCTTCGTGACGTTAATTGAGGAGCTATTTCAAGGAAATAGCGGCTCCGGTCTAGAAAACCGAAATTAACGGCCGGGGAGATTCTTATTGTAGAAAAAATATTCTACATACAAAGCCCTAGGTAATGCCCATCTGGGCCTCTGTAGCATTCTTATAAACATCTTATTCTATAATAGCGGTAACCCCGCGATTCTTAATATACGTACGTAGATCTTAACTTAAATCTGAGAGTATACTGTTAATAACCAGTACAATTACTTCTTTTACTTTTATTACATTTGTATTTTTTATAAATATAGGAATGTTGTTTATGAAGTAACAGACACCTTGCAGAAATCTTTTCTCTTCTAGCCTTAAGAGCTCTATAACCGACTTTGGGCATTCTTTTTTTGCTGTTCCTTGCACTGACCACGCGACACCCTGTATCCGCTAAAGTTGGCACTAACTTCACCAACAAGCGGCAGTGGCTCGGTCAGTATAGTTTGCTAGCTAAATCGAACCACAGTTTGTCTGTTTTATATTATATTGTATTATATTAGACTGTAGACTCATAGTCTAGACACACAACACAACAGGAGGGGGCACCAAGGACCATGAAATAACACGAGTGTATAGATGTGACTACACATCAAATATTAGAGTCACAAAAAGGAAGCACAGAAGTTTTCACCAGCAGTTTTACACACCTGATAATGACCAATGTTGGTCAAAACATGTGGTGCAATGTACAGAAAACTTTTAAATAAGATTTAAAAGATGCATTGTGTGTAGGTAAGGAAATTTTAAACAAGTTTTAGCAGGATGTGTTGCACATAAGATGATGAATCAGTGACATTGTTGAATAATGCACATATTTCTTTGAACATTTGGTATCACAGGTAATGTGCATCACCACTGTTAGTCTTCTCCAAACATTTAGATAAAAAATACTCATTTTTTACTACGATGGTGTAGTTGGTTGAGGCACTATGCTACAAGCCAGAAGGTCGTGGGTTCAAGTCCCAATGAAGTCACTGGATTTTTTCAATTGACCTAATCCTTCCAGCCACACTATGGCCCCGGAGTCAACTCAGCCTCTAACATAAATGAGTGCCACGAATTAAATAATTTTCCTGGGGAGTAAAGCGCAGCCGGTGTGTAAGGCTGACAACCTTACCACCATCTTTGAGACAATTGTCTAGATAATGTGGGACCCTCAACGTCTCACAACCCTATGGGCCTTCACGGCCTGTTACAGGGATAGCTTTACTTTACTTACTCATTCATGACTACAGACCTATGCTTAAAATGGTCATCATTATATAATGACTGGGAAGACATAGTTAAATTGTAGGATTTGAGAAAATTCTCACAGCAATGGTTGTGAAGGGTTCTATCTTCAATCTGCTTGTTACTTGCTTCATGCTGGTTTCTTTCTTGGCGTATTCATGGATCCTAAAGATGGAGGGAACGTATCCCTCCAAACTGTCTGCTAACTTTCAGCAGACTACATGGCATTGTATCCCAGAAAACAGAACTTTTCGTAGTTAGAGTGTAAAGGCATTATGATTTACATGAACTAAACAAAAAGTTCTTTCTTTTAGGATAGAATATTGTCACATGTTAGATTGATTCTTGATGGGGTTTTGGTTTGGATATTGGATTTATTGACTATTTATACATAGGACTCAGAACTACAAGCAATACCAGTGGTGCCACCACTAATCTCCACAATTCACAAATCACCACAGCACACACTAAGTCTTTTCCAGCCTGCTGTGACTTCACCAGCTGTAACAGCTTCTAACAGTGGTTCAGATTCCTCTCTCAAGTCCTTTCTGAATGATGGCGCTCTTCAAACTGTCCCTTTTCTTAACAGCCTCCCATACAGAACTCACTTGGTTGCCCCAGTTGTCTTCGTTATAACTCCTCGGCGTGGACTGCATAGACAACACCGTTGGTTCTTGTATGCTAACCGTTGCTGCAGGAACGTGTTTACTGAGCCATTCCCTAGCTGCAGCATCTAATCTTGCTTATTAAGAATCTGCTGCCTAGCAAAAGGCATTGTCCCACTCTCTGTTTTGCCATCATTGCCTAGAAAACAGTGTTCTTTCAGAGCCATTCGCTAGCAACAGCTACGAGGGTCGTACTGAAAGTCATGAGCAACAATTTTTTGTAAAGTAACATGCTTTATTATTGACAAACCAAATACACCACCTCAATCTACAGACCTTCCTTTATTTTTCCACATAATCACCACCTCTTTGTACACATTTCTCTCAGCGTTCTGGAATTTGAAAATTCCCCTTCTGTAAAATTCCGTTCCAACCATCCAAAAACACTGACGCACTGCTTTATGAATTGCCTCCCTTGTCTCAAAACATTGTCCACGCAGATGTTCCTTCACAAATCTGAAAAGATGGTAGTCGGAGGGTGCCAGATCAAGGCTGTGAGAGGCGTGTGGAAGAACTTCCCACCCCATCTTTGCCATTGCTTCCAATGTGAGGCGAGTGGCATGGGGGCAAGCGTTGTCATGCAGGATGATGATGTTTGATCCCAGACGTTTATCGCGCAATGCACGATGGAGCTTGTGCAGCATCTGGACATAACGAGCAGCATTGATGGTTTGCCCAGGTTCCAGGAATTCTGCCCGAATAAACACCTCTGCATCCCAGAAGACTGTACCCATCACCTTCGCAGCTGATGGCACTGTCTTTGCCTTCTTTTTTGATGGAGATTGCAAATGGTGCCATTCTATACTCTGCCATTTCGTTTCAGGCTCGAGATGGCGAAACCAGCTTTCGTCACCTGTCACAATACAGAGCAAAAAACCATCGCCTTCATGTTGATATCTCTGCAGCAGTTCTGAGGTGATGGCTTTTAGCTGACCTTTGTGGTCTCTGGCAATAACCGCAGGACCCAACGAGCACAAACTTTCCTATAGCCCAAGCTTTCAATCATCTCCTGTACTGCACTGTGCCCTATTCCAAGTTTTCGAGCTACTGTGTCCAGTCACATGCCTGTCATCTTCAGTGATCTCATCCACTCTTTCCTTGTTGCATTCAGTTGAGGCTGTTCGAGGACGACCGCTCCGAGGCTCATCTTCAATGCTGGTATTCCCGTCTTTAAAATATTTCACCCATCTTCGAACATCGCACCCATGCACACACTTCCATAAGCAGGCTGAAGTCTCTGGTGAATTTCTGCAGCAGGGATTTCCTCTTTCACAAGAAATTCAATGACAGCACGCTGGCGAAATGACATGTGATTGTCGGCCATTTTGTTAGGAAAATACTGGTCACGTGATGCAAGCTATTGTCGTCACAAGACACTCAAGGTTAACACAACAGCTGGTTCCACCTACCACCATACTCTCTTTTGTCTGTTGTTCCCAGGTTGCATGCAAAAAAAAAGCTGCTCATGACTTTCGGTATGACCTACGTATTTCTCTGGCTCCACAGCTCTTGCTTTGAGTAAATATGCCACAATATCATGTAGTCTGGTGAAAGTTAATCAGCGTTTCAAAGGTACATACAGCCTCCATCTTTAGGGTGTAAGGGTAAGTGAAGCAAGAAACCAGCATGAAGCAGGCAGCAAGCAGAACCAAGCTAGTTGCCTGGTTCTTCTAGTTTCTCACTTGGCTTTACTCTTCGAACTTGAAGATGGAGATGATAAACACTGGGCTATCTCTGAACTATATAACGTTACAACTCAAAAGATCACACTCTTCATTAATCTTGTTATTTTATTAATTTACAGCAATACCTTGCATAGTCCGGCTTTGATCAGTCCAGATTCACTACAGTCTGGTTTGAAAATTTCAAAACAAACTAAATTTTAATTGAGCAAAATTAAAATAAATTCTAAAAAATTAGTACACAAAATTATTTTTAATACATAAGTGATCAGGTTTTTCCCTTTATACAGTCAAGTCTCTTTTTGTGCGGTTTATTTTTATGTGGTTTTAAAGTTATGCGACATGATACATATTTCAATTTTTTCTGGGGTTCCCCATTGTATATGTACCTATGCTGAGGTCGTTTGTTCTTGAGCTCTAACAGCTATCGCTGGAGGTGGTGGGAAGAGCACAATGGAATTTTGGAAGAGCTAAAACATTATCAAAAATATAGGCGAAGCATGGCATGAATTAACGACAAGCAATATGAGGGCAGTATGGAAACATATCCTATGACATTGTGCAAATGATTTCATTGGTTTTGAAACTCATTTTGTTGAAATCACTAATAACATGAATGTATAAGGGGTGGGCCTTCCTGGCCCTTGCACCACGACCACAGTGATCTATTGTGCCTTCACTAATAACATAGTGGAAATTGGACAGCAACTTGGTTTCAACGAGTTAGATTCCATCAATGTAATTGAGTGCATCAAATCGAACACTAATGAACTAAATAATGAAACACTTATTAACATAGATGAACAATGGGCTTATGAAGAACGGGAAGACAACTTAGACGACAACGACTGTGTTGAAGTGCCTGCACGAGAATTAACAGCTGAACAACTATCAAAAATTATTGTAATGGTTGAAACCTTGTCAGAGCATATTATGGAAGTTGATTCCAATATGGAACGTAGCCTTATGATTCACCGAACAATAAACAATGCAATTCATTGCTACAAAGAAATGTATGAAGAGAAAAGGCCAAAGAAGAAAAATGTGCAGACATCAATATTGCAATTTTTTAGAGAATAAAAAATGAATTGCAGAAAACATATTTTTAAAAAAAAATATAATAGACATCTAAATTTATTAATCGCATTTTATTTATTGAAAAACGGAGATTTTTTTAACCAATTATCGTTTTTTGTATGTATTTAGTTCCTCGATTAGTCCAGTTTCAAACAGTCCGGGATATTGGCGGAACCACTTACCCAGACTAAAGTACATGCCGGTAACCAAGAAAGACTGTGCTAATGGACCTACATATATTGAAATTGGCTCATATAAATTTGAGGTTGTGTGTAATTTCACTTACCTTGGATCAGAAGTTAACTGTAAAAATGATATCAGTGATGAAATAAAAAAGCGTGTACTTGCAGCAAATAAATGTCTCCATGGCCTTAGGAAACACCTGAAATCCCAATTAATACCCAGGAAAACCAAAACTATGATGTATAAAGTACTTATAAGAATGGTGCTATCTTATGCCTCTGAGATGTGGTCACTGTCAAGATCGGATGAAAGACTGTTAAGTATATTTGAAAGGAGGATCCTGAGATATATCTTTGGACCAGTGGAAGAAAATGGAATATGGAGGAAGAGGTATAACCATCAGCTATACAAACTATTTAATGAACCAGACATTATTGCATTTATAAAGGTGAAAAGGCTTGAATGGGCTGGACACGTAATACGTGCCAGCGAGAATAGAACCATTAAGAAAATGTTTAACACTAAACCAGAAGGAAATAGGAGAGTGGGAAGACCAAAATTAAGATGGGAAGAATGTGTGTGGCAGGACATAAGAATTTTAGGTATAAAGAACTGGAGGAATGTAGCATCGAATGGGGAAGAATGGCGAGCAATCCTGAGGAACGCCAGGGCTCACAAAGGGCTGTCATGCCAGTGATGATGATGATGATGATGATGATGATGATTACCCGGACTATGTGAGGTATTGCTGTATATTCTTTGAACAGGTAACATATAACATAAATACATTGAATGGCCTTGTAAAGTAGAAACAGGATATGAAGATAAATGTCATCTCAGGTGTGTGACACTGCAAAATCCCATACACTGTTACCAACATTTGGGAGGTTTCATCTTCAGGGTACCCTGGAACAGTGGTAACAATCTATCATGCTTCAAGGTGTCAAATCACAGAAGGAGGGTTGGAAATCGAAACAGATGCAGGTAGATGCTTCATTTTGAGGAAGATATTTACATTGCCTTACAACATCATAACTATTGTACTCAACAATGCATGTAGGAATAAATTCAGAAGCCTAATTTTAATAATTTACTTTTAATAAATGGTGATCATTCCCTGGGCTTTTCTATTGACCTGCAGCATCTACTAAGTTATGAAAAGTCATTCCCACCATGCCCAGAAGAGAGTAAATCTTCATGTTACAGAGACACAAGTACATTCACAGAAGGTACTGAAAGAATCAAGATCCATTTTAATACTAATCTCTCATTTGTTTTGGTGTTCTCAATAGCTCCTTTCAACAAAGTTCACCAGTAAGAACATCCATAAACATGTTCTGAATGTGAACTAAAGCCATTTTTAGAAGTAATATTAACATAATTCCTTATTTTTGTATTTTTTTTTATGTTCTCCATTATCAAATGCTATTTAACACTCTTATCCTGGAGATTAATAACATATACCAGCATTAATATTTACACTAAAACCTACTTTAAGAAAAAATATTTCATACAATAAATGAAGAACATCAATAAACATTAATTCTCTTATGGTGCGTGATAATAGCTGTTTCATTATGTGAATATTATGCTATCCATTGTCCACTATCTACAGCATATTTAAAATGCATGTTTTGGAAACTGGATCCATTTCCACCATTAGAAGTAACGGGGAAAACAATCCTGCTCAGTTGAGTCTGTCAGAAGAAGCTTGCCTCAGTCACTTGCCCCACTTAACATGATGACAGAAATGGGTCTGGTTTTTAAAACTTGTTTATATCATGCATAGTCCAGACAGTGAACAATGTCCAACATAACATTCATATAATCAGTAACTATCCATTTATTTACAGAAAGATGTGTTCCATTTGAATTAAGGATTGTTTTCTTCAGGAAGTGATATGATAGGTGACATATGCATAATCCCTTCTTGAGAGAAAGTGTGTTCTACTTCCATTGGCTCATCATCTTGTACAAATTCATAAACTTCTGGCTCAGTAGTAACTGTCTGATTATACATTATATTCATGTTGGCTTGCAGCTTCTGAGACCCCTGCTTAGCGAACATTTCTTCTTCAGTCTGCCGTTGCAGAAATATTGCAGACCTTGATTTTGTTGCAGTCTTATGTCTTGTATGATCTGGCTTATTAAGTGGCTACAGAAAGAAATGGAAAATATATGTACACAGATTTTATCACATCCCAAAACAATGAAAAATAGCAATCTATAAAATATATTTTAAGCTGGTAAAAGGTAGAAAGGTAAAGCTGTCCCTGTAACAGGCCATGGAGGCACAGAGGTTTGTCAGACGTTGAGGGTCCCACATTTTCAGACAATCAGCTCACAGATGGAGGTGAGGTTGTCAGCCTTACATGCTGGCTGCCCTTTACCCCCAGGAAGATTCATTGTATTCATTTCTGCTAGAGGCTGAATCGACCCCAGAAAGGAAAACCTAGCCCTGTAACAGGCCATGGAAACCCATAGATTTGTGACGCATCAAGGCTCCCACATTTTCTAAACAATCAGCTCTCAGATGGTGGTGAGGCTGTCAGCCTAACACACCAGTTGTCCTTCACCCCTGGGAAAATTCCTGTTACACATTTCTGTTAGAGGCTGAGTTGACCCCAAATATGAAAATTTAATGCTGAAACGTGGGCCATTACAAAGAGGAAAAGAGAGCAAAATGTGGACAATAGGTACAAAACCTTTGAGAAGTACTGTGAGAGAAGAAACTAAGATGAAGCAAAAAGAAATCAGTAAACTACAGAGACGGAGCTCAAGTCACTGTATACATGAAACAGATTTGCCTTCATGGTAAAAAAGAAGCTACTACTCATCAGATGCTTATGTAAGGAAAAAAAAAAAGATGTAATGTAACTGAATCTTATCATCCCAGAAACTAAATGATCTGAATAACTCTCGGAGCTATGGGTTAATGAACTCCCAGATGCAGATCATGTGGTTCTAAGTTAATTGCCCAAATTGATTACATTGTGACACATTTCTTCTATGTATGTTATAGTGCAGTGAGAATTGGAGTGTATAATAATTCAGAGAGACTTGTATAGCTCCCATGTTAAAAATATGTGAAATCTACTGCAGATAGAGTGAACAGATTCATGTGGAGAGATTGTGCATTGTGTAAACCAGCAATAGTGTAATAAGTAATTGTAGTTATGACCTGTAGTTTGTTAGTAAAACCAATTACCAATCCAAACCACGTCTCCAAACATGTTACAATATTATTCCAAACACATATAACTATGGCTTATTTTCAGCTTGTATGCCCTAGTATAAGTGCCAGTACTCTGATGGGTACTGGTCAACTTGTCAGAGAGTGCTTCAGTCTTGAGGCTAAAACTGAGCATGAGAGTAGCAGCAAAAGAGAAAAAGTAGGGCTTATAATGCAGTTAAGTTAAAGCTGCAAGAAATTAAAGTTGTAAATGATTGGAGGGTATTTTGTTGTAAGAAGGGGACAATAATTTTTTCATAGCTGGGTGGAAGGGAAGGGGGGGGGGGAAGGATTCAACCATTGTGACACATTGTTAGTTTCAAAGCTGGGACATTGTCAGTCATCTATGTGACATATTAAAAATCCAGTGTTTCAGAAAATGATAAAATACTATAGTTTTATCTCAGTATGGAGGCACAGACTCTGAAACATTTTAAACAGAACAGTACAATGACTAATGTCCATAAATTAGGAAGGTTCGCCCTCTGACCTCAAGCTGAAAGTGGGGCCTAATCCAATGTTTTCATTGCAAGAAGCTGCTATTAATGACTGGATTAATTATCGTTTTTACTGTAAAACTTGGGTGTCCATATTAAAAAAATGTGATGCATCAGTGTCAAAAACATTCAGAAATTAATTGAAAGACATCTTACTACAATATAAAATGTAAAGCTATCCCTGTAAGAGGAAGTGGAGGCCCACAGGGTTGTGAGACATCAAGGTTCCCAAATTTTCCTAGACAACTGGCTCACAGATGGTGGTGAGGTTGACAGTCTTATGCACCAGCCACCCTTTACCCCCAGGAAGATTCCTGGTACTCATTTCTGTTAGAGGCTGAGTCAACTCCAGGGCCATAATGTGTCTGGAAGGATTAGGTCAATTGAAAAATTCAATGACCTCAACAGGAATCAAAGCCGTGGACCTTCCCACTTGTAGCGTAGTGCCTCAACCAACTAGGCTACCATGATGGATGTAAAAAAATTCATACATTTAAGACAATCTGAGTGGAAAAGTGGCCAATTTAAGGTTCTTGTGCTGCACCTTGCACATGATGCAGTCTGCAGACCTTTAACAACATTTCATAGGAACCTGCTGCTCTAGCTTCACATAACTAGGAAGTTGTGAATGGAAAAATGGTACTGATACAGGGGCTGGTGGCACTGGGAGTGGAGCTCTAAATGAACCAACAGGAGTAATGCAAATAGTCTAAAGTATGTTTGACCCTTAATTTTCCATTTTCCAATGCAACATGAATGGGAGAAATAATGGCTTTAAGAGTACCAAAAGGAGGTAGAAGGAAAATCTGAAGGAATAGAATATTGGAACATTAGCCCTTTAAAAGCCTTTCCCAAGGACAGAATGAATAGTAGAAAAAGTAATAACAAGGGCTGATTTGGCAGACAGCAAAAACGGGGAAAACATGAAAAATCAGAGCAGAGGAGAAATAAAATAAATAAAAACAGGGGGATCTGAATGAACAATAGGAGATGAAGAAAAACAATGAGAACAGAGTAAAATTGGGCTTACTCCTCATCCCTGAAAAGGAAGCAAGAGCTTCTTCCAAAATAATTGTAATGATCTACCAGACTACACTGAGTTACTGCCCATAAAGCGGCCTCCGTAGTCTAGGGGTAACATTCCCACCTCATGACTCAAGGTACACGGGTTCAAACCCGGTGGGGGTTATGGAATTTTTAAGGGCAGAAAAATTCAGGGAACAAGTCCTCCGGGAGGGACTTTAAGCCGTGGGTCAGGTGTCGTAGATTTACGGCACGTAAAAGATCCTCATGTCTCTAGGAGACCTCTGAGCAAAGTTAGGCAAAAGTTTCCCGCCCAAGTAGTTTCCAATGTCTCCAGTAGATGGGGAAATATCGGATACCACTGCCAGTAGAGGGCCGGCCTTGCTGGCTGAACGGGGCTGATAGCGAGCAGCAGTATCGGAAGGGTATGGCAAGTGGTAGAATATCAAAGGGGGACGTACAGTAGACTATTAGTTGCGGTGCATGGGGAAACCCACCCCCTCCAATAATAATAATAAAAATAATAATACTGCCCATAATCTGCACGGCCACTACAATGAGATTTCATACGTCATAAGGTCAGTTTAGATAATATATCTCAACTGTGATCTACCTCATCTGTTACTTCTTCCTGAACAGTGATATCAGTTTCAACTTCTGTTGCATGTTTCTCAAGGACTTTTTGGGCAACCATCTCCTGAGGAGTACAGCATCTTCTGTTTTCCTGGTGTTGAAGAGATACCAGACTGTTACTTGCAGGCATCTCCTGACTGACTCTCTCTAATGTATCAAGCAACTACAGGCAATATACAGAAGAAAGTATCAATTTATTGCATGTTTATAATGAAATTTTACAAAAATGCATCTGCAGGTTTCATCATGTCTGCCTGAACATCCATCCATCTGTTTGCCACACACAACTCACTAATCACTGCTTAGATTTTCATGAAACCTGGTGTTTGGGTGTTCTACTAAAATTTGTTGACACATTTCAATTTTGATTAAAATCAGACAGCAATAATGTACATTTTACAGTAAGATCTGCACACAGTTCTAAATTCATCTCAACTATAACCCAAATGGATTTCACTACATATGTATCAGAGTGAAATAAGGTTTAAATAAAAGTTGTAGAGGAAACTGAATCATATATCTTATGCCAACACAGTTTTTTATAAGTCTTGGGATTTTTTATAATTCAACAAAAGATACTTTTTTTTAATTTAGAGGAAATAACAGAAAAAAACAATTAAGCATCTTTATGTTATGCATGAATTTCCTAGCTTGTACTGTCTGGAATAAGCAATGTTTATTTTCTAGGGCACATCCAGTTCATTAGCTTTGTGCAGGAGAAAACAAACTCCATGTAAGCCAGCACTTCTTCCAAAATTGATGATTCCTTGTTAAAGAAATTCTTTGTAGTTGATAGAATACATAAGTTCGTTTTGTGTTGAGCCCACCACTGGACCCTATTCTGAGCCAACTGAATCCAGTCTCTTCCCTCAAAACCAGATTCTTTTGAAGATTTGTTTTAATATTATCTTTTCATCTACATCTCCCAAGTTGTATCTTCCGTTCAGAGTCTCTGATTTAAATATGAGAATTTATCAGCATATCCATGTATGCTACTTACCCTGCCAATTTAATCCTTCTTGATAATACTAATGTTTGGTGATGAGGAAAAATTACAAAGCTTCCGTTGATGTGAATTATAAAATTCAGCACAATCAAGAAAATATTTGGAATACGGAAAGCCTACCTCTGTTGCCCCATTTTCTTGATCAGTGCAGCCATCCTCACTTTGAGCTTCGGTAGCATCTGCCTCACCAGAATTAATGTAGAAATTATGCTTCAACTCCTCAAGTTTTTGGGCAGAAAGCATCCCACATTTTACACATTCTATTACAGTAGATGCTAATGTATAGTAATTATGCATCTCATTGTTCTTTGCAGATGATCCAAATGCCTGCAAATGAATAAGATATAATTAAATATACCGTTCATTTAACAATATTAAACATCAAAAACTGATCCTAAGAATAATGCTGTTTCTGGGACGTCATGCCATGTGATCTGGTAGATCCTTGCATTTCGGAGGAACTTGCTGTCTCCATCTTCACAGAAGAAGAGCAGTAGATCCTTATTGACATCTTGGAGGAGCAAGCTGCCTCTATCTTCAGGGCAGAAGACAGTAGATTGTTTCAAACATCTTGGAGGTGAGTACTACCTCCATCTTCAAGGTATAAACTGGTACATTATGTTTCAGAGATTTATCTTCAGGGTATAAAATGGTAAATCATGATGTTTCAGAGTAACATACAGCCTCCATCTTCCAGTTCAGTTACTGGCATTTCAGAATAGCATGTTGCCCTCACCTTCAGGGTAGAACTGAAGTCATTCTTCTACCCTGAAGATGGGGACAGCATATTCCTTTGAAACACTGGTAATGATCTACCAGACTACACGATGTCACCTTCCAAAAGAAAGTAATCTTCATAGACACCACTAAAAGACCCTCAAATCTTGGACGATTCTATATATTATTCCTCATATTAAACATGAAATAGAGCAACTCAAGCTCATATTATTTAACTCAGAACTTTATTCATACAAATATATTTAGAATTAAGAAAACTGTCATAACCCTGTAAATAACTCAAAGGATCAGAGTCCTTAAAAACTGATATTTCTCAGGCAATGAAGAAATTCCCAATCTCTTGTAGAACCTAAAACTTTATTAAAGGTAAAGGTAAAGCTGTCCTTGTAACAGACCATGGAGACGCACAAGGTTGTGAGACATTGAGGCTCCCACTTTTCCAGGTTGTGAGACATTGAGGCTCCCACTCTTCCAGACAATCAGCTCACAGATGGCAGAGAGGTTGTCAGTCTTACGCAACAGCTGGCCACCCTTTACCCACAGAAGATTCCTGGCATTCCCTTCTGTTAGAGACTGAGTCGACCCCAGGTCCATAGTGAGACTGGAGGGATTAGCTCAATTGAAAAATCCAACGACTTCATCGGAATCAACCCGCAACCTTCTGGCTTGTAACACAGTGCTAAACATTATCATGTGTAAAATAACCCCTACATTTATATTGAGGAACTAAACGTTAAAGAATAACAACATATGCTAAGCATGACACCGCCACATGTAAAGGCTTAAGACAAGTGGTATATGTAGATACCTCCATTCTTTAAGGGATTAAGAGAAACCGCATAACCAACCACTTGGCCCACCTGGCATTCAGGAGAAAAGAGGAAAAATTGACAGCACTGACTCAGAAGTTCCTAAAATTCGGAATGTAACAACCAGTGACCTAATTGGATTGTTTTACAAAATTTATAGATGTGGACACATTTTCACCTTTCTTTGTGACGATAACTTCTGCGCAAGCTTCTTAGAATTGTTCAATATAAGTTCTGGACAGGCCAATACTTGAGCAAGGTGAAGACCATAGTTTTCCACTTGTGTTACACCTGGTAGAAGCTTATGTGTGTACACCAATCGATCCCGGCCCAATTCTGTACATTCCCACAGAGCTTCAAAATGGTGACTGAAAGGATTAGAATTATTAAAACAAGACAAATGGATGCTATTTGTATACAAAATATATTTGAAAATATGTAACATAATTTGAATAATTCTACCAAAGCAAGGAAGCTAGTATAACTCAAGTCAGTATTGCAAAAGGATGCAGGCAGGATGTCCAAGGAATCAAGATTCGAGTCCTGGCAGGTACAGGTTTTTCTTTTCTCCACAGCATTTAGAAGACTGTGGAACCCAGAAAGCCTCCTATCTAAGGCGTACCAGGGAATCCTTCCCTGGGGTGATATAGCTGGACTGTGAAACTGACATCTCACCTTCATCTTCTGCCTAGCTTAAGAATGAATGAAGCTATACCTCCACTCCCCTGCAGATCTTCATTGTGTGTAGCTTAATTAATCAGTTTTAACTACCACTTTTCACAGATGATGAACATATATATCTCAAACATATCTCACTACATATTTAGTCAAGTGGAAAATGTTTTGAATAAAAGTTGCACAGAACAATGAATGACACTTCATTTTCCATACATCATGTGGTTTTCAAGACATCTGAACAAAAACTGGATGCTACACATACAACTGTAAGTTCATATTTTCAATAATTATCATGGTCTCCCAGTCACATCTGAGTCCTGGATTATCTGTGTTTTTCAATTATTAATGCATCTCTTTCCCCATCATTTGCATGGATAATCATGAGTATACTATAGTTCCAAATCAATTTATATTGTAATGATTTCCATTTGTATTATATTAGTTTAAAATATGTCTGTAAGGCTAACAACCTCTACAGTCCTCCACTTTATAGTGATTTTTTCAGGCATTCCGTACTTAGATCTAGGCAACATTTCAAAAGGTGTGATGCTGATCTAATTCATGCTTTGAGAAACACATCACTTGTTGCATTATTGAAAGTTAAATAGTTATATATAATTTTCAGAGTTCTCATAAAAGCACCTTAGAGACTGCACTTAGCATGTGAACTGTAGTCAGGGGAATGTATGTAAGGGGTGGGCCATAAAAACCAGTCCCTGAACTGCGACCTTCAATGATCTATTGTGCTTAGTCAGGGGCATAGTCCTAAAATTAAGAGTATTAAGTTGATCTTGCATGCAATTCCATGTTGAAAGTAATGAAATGAATTATCATGATATAAGACCATTATTACTTAATAATAGCTTTACACTTTTAAATGCAGACCTGTATAATACTATATTATGGTGACCATTTACACTGGATAATCATTTAATTCACATTGATAATCTTTGAGGTGCAACTTCTTATCATATTCATATTCATATTTTTATTGGTTCCAGAAATCCACACGTTGCAATACAGCCTCCAGATACAGAACAAGTCAAATTATTTGTATAAAAGTCAACAATACTATAATATTTAACTACATACACAAATTGTGTACATGTCCAACTTACCATATAAAACTATATTAAAAATTTAAGACAACTTAAATACCCCAACATAGTAACCAATTCAATCCATTTCACATCAATCAATCAACCCATCCATTCTTCCTTCTTCATCAAATCACTGTCATAGGAAAATGTTCCCTACACGTTAAACATACAGTAGTTCAATTTCTGTAATTAAAAAATAAGTACCCCCCTTTCACAAACATACCATCTTTAATTTAACATATATTCCTCTACAGAATAAAACGTATGTTGTACCAAATATGACCTCATTACTTTTTTAAACTGTCTAATTTTTCCTATCTCCTTTATTTTATTGTACAATTTTATTCCCATGTTCAGTACTCCTCTCTTATAGGCATTTGTTCTGCAAAACTGAGCATGGAGATTTAACTTCTGGCATGTATTGTGATTATGAACTATGTTATTTTGTTCTAACTTTTCTAAATGTAGTTTCACATGGCATACTATTCCAAATATATACATACATACAAGGTAGTGGAAGTAAGTTTAAATTCTTAAAAAGTTGTCTACATGATGCTAATCTACTCACACTACTAATTATTCTAACAATTCGTTTCTGCAATTTAAATATAATTTCACTTTTTGGGTCGCTACCCCAGAAAATTAAACCATACTTCAAATAAGCATGGAAGTGAGCAAAGTAAATACTCCTTATAACATGTCAGCTTGTTACATCCCTAAGGGATTTTATCATGTAACAGACTTTATGAAGTTTTGAGCTTGAAGTTCAAAGACAGGTGGAGTGCTGTGTTGTCATGTATGAGTATTGTAGCTGTTTCTTCTGCAATATGTTTCGACTTTGGAAGGTCACCATCACATAGCTTATATATGTAGTTGCTGCACTATATTGTTTTTTAGTTCTTTGTCCCAAAATTTTGTTAAAACTTGGTTAAAATTAAGCCTATGTTATTATTAAATTCGGTTAAAACTAATAAAACCTTTTTTTTAATATTTAATTGATGTTTTATATTTCTAGGTTTCTGTTATTTCTTTGATTGTATTGTGTTCTGTGTCTGTGCATACAGAGTTTGTTTTTCCATCGAGCAGTTTTGTTATATGTTAAGGTGCTGAGGTTCAGAATGACATAGTTTAGTGTGGTTTTTGTGAATTGTGGATGGCTACTGCTAGTGTTGGGATGATTTCATGAAACATCCATACTTCAAGAGGCTTCTGCGTCAGAGAGGTCACAAATAAAACAAGTACTGTAATATTACTGTTAACTATAATTATTGCATAATCTTGCTTGGTTTCAAATAATACCAATAAACCTATATAAAAGATGAGTTCAAACATTTTTGTTACAGAAGTATCTATCATATCATATACTAAACATACTTTGTCACATTGCAATACAATTCCTGCAGTTTAGTAAGATACAGGAAGTGTGTTGTTAGAAAGATGAATGCATCTTCATCCATGAGCTGTTCCAAAATTACCCAAGCAATAGCTGTGCCTTCCTCGCAGGAAGTGCCTCGGCATAACTCATCCACGATGATAAGCGAAAGTGGTGTTGTCATTTGCTTGATAAACTGAAATTCCTTCAACTGCAACAAACAAAAAAATATAACAAGAATATAAAATTCAATTCCTCATAATATCTGTACCTCTCTGTACACATTTATGGTAATAATATTGTAACGTGTTTAGACACTGAAGACGCTGTAGAGATGGTTAATTGGTTTATTTAACAATCTACAAGTAACGGCTACAATTACTTATCACACAATTGCGGGGTTTCACACTTTATAACCCTAATTGCATTAATCTGTTAACACTGTTGCGGGGTTTCACGATTTATAACCCTATGCGCAAATCAGTTCACTCTGTGTTCAGTAGTCGACACGTTTACAGTAGGGGAGCTATGTATCACTGTATCACACGCTCCCAATTACACAATCACACACACGTCCGGTTCTTCTTTCCGCGACGGCTGCTATACTCCAACGGTAGTCGGCTGACTGGAGAACTGTTGATAACACACTCGCTCGACTGCTACTTTATAACTCGGAAATGTCTTCGGCGATGGCCACGGTATAACTCGACTTGGCGACTATTACTTTACAGCTCGGCAGCTGTAACAGTACAACTGACTGGTACCTGCTGTACGGTTCCCTTATATATCCGCAGTGGTGCCTGTTGCGGGCCACGTCACAGTAGGAAGCGGTTCCGCGTTACCGTGGCGTCACCGCGCATGGCACGTTGCATAGCTACCAGGATGCGGGGGCTCGGCTCACTTCGGCTCCGCTCGTGACGTCACCGCGGGGAGAGTGGCGGGGTGATGATTCGCCTATTACGTGAGCGCTACGTTACCGCTACGTGCAGCTGGGGGGGTAGGGGTCAACATGTCACAATATTATGCCATTGATTCAGGAGATTACATGAGGCCCTACCATCATCAACAAATTGTGCTTCATTATTCACTTCTTAATCATTTTATTTACAAAATTTCCAATTCCAAAAGTATGGATATTATTGCTTTTGCCAGAAAAATGTATAGTCCTACAGTTTCCATGATAATGAATATTCATATTGTTGTCTTCTAGGTTATAAAAACCTGCACTTGTATGTGTGGGTAAAAGCTTTTCATAGGAACATAAGCCCTGAATCATGACGTGAATATACTCGCCTGAGACACTGGTTGGTACCCACCTACAAGACCACACCATATCATAACCTAGAAGACCACAGTATGAATAAATAGCTTCCTTTCTAGGTGAATGAATCACTTGGGTAACCTGGCTCCTGTAATCTTACTGTTATCATGAAGCTGATTACATTAACTATAAAAGACCAGTCTTACAAAATCTTTTGCCTGTCCAAAGCATTTTGAGTGGTGTCATGCCTTCAGTAGGTAACCTTATGGAAGCAAAGTTCTGCGTGTTCGATGAGAGCTCCAATATGATGATTTTGGTATGCATCACGTGATGAAAATAGGATCTAGTAACTTTTTAATGATTCTGTAGCAAGCTATGTAACTATCTGATGATGACACTGCCTCAAATATGTTTCAGACACAGTTGTATTATTTCAGTTTAATATGTGTGTCCCTGATATTTCCCATGCAATAGAGAAGAAATTTTCCACCTCTGACGCTTCTTCATTAGATATATCTCACAGAAGACCTCAGTTTTTGTTAACCTTACAGCAATTATTAATCATTTCTGTAATAACAAACTTTTGTCCTGATTGTATACATTAAACAACATACCTCAAGCACAAAAGTTGATGCATTGCATTCGATACTGTCATCGAAACTGAGCCTGGAAAATATGTGATCTGAAATACGAAAAGTTGCTGAATGTGCTGGCACATAGCAACCAATCTGAAATTAAAGCAAACAAAATCAAGTCACTTCAACATACACAACACCACCTAGCCTAAAAACATATTTTTAGAAATCTTGGCTTAATCTGTATAAAATTGATATTTACCAATAGATTTCAGGTTCTCACAGCAGTGTCTATGATGAATAATATATTTTCTGGGATGTGATGCTGTGTAGTCCAGTAGAAGTTCACTTACTTTTCGGAGAAATGCACTGCCCCTGGCAAGACATGGGCAACAAGCAGAGCACTATTCCTCCTCCTCCTCCTCCCCCCACTTTTTGCACACTTTTCATGTACGAGTATGAGAAGCCCATAACATGTATTTAGATGTCACCTCAACACACAGTGTCCAGTCATTATACCTTTGGACTCACCTGTGCCATGATTTGCAGCAGGGCAATCTGACGAATGTAGATACTCTTCCCACTCATGTTTGGTCCTGTGATTATATGGCAGTTATAGTAACTGGATGCAAACTATAAACAAAAGCAATGTTATGAATTACAAGGCGAGCAAAGTTCTCAGACATGTCTTACATTACAACACTTCACTACAAAAATTGTAATTTGTTAGATTTGATGTTCTCTGGGCATTGACTCCAAAGGTACCTGCTGTCCCTTGGGGTATGACATGATGTAGTCTGGTGGAAGTTTGCTGAAGTTTCAGAGGAAAGTGCCACCTTCATCTTCAGAGATAAAATGTAATCTGAGCAAGCGAGCATCAACTTTTGCATGTAATGTGTGGTCCCTCAATCAGTTCAATGGCTGCTTATAGGCTGGATGATCAGGGTTCAATTTCCAGGAGTAGGAGAAAGTTCTTTTTTTTTTTCCTCCTGCATCCAGACCAACTCTGTGACCAGGGACTATTTTGTTGGGGGTAAAGCAACTGAGGTGTGAAGCTGACCACTCAGCTTCATCTAGTCACAAGGTTAAGGATAATTACTTCTACCCCTGAAGATGGAAACAGTATGTTCCTATTGAAACATTGGTACCCAGCTAGCGGATTCTGGGATACTATAATCCAGATGACAGAAATATGAATTTAATTGCAATCTTCTTGGATGTAATGTCATATAGTTTGGTACTTAGATAGGGAAAACAAATCTTTAAGGGTGAATGGCACCGGTCACGGTAGCCAAGCAGTCTAAGGCATGCACTGTCTTCGCTCCCTCGGAAGCCGGGATCGTGGGTTCGAATCCCACTCAGGACATGGATGTTTGTGTACGTTTTTCTGTGTTTGTGTACAGGTAGAGGCCTTTCAATGAGCTGATCACCCACCCAAGGAGTCCTACTGTATGTGTAAGATCTAGAAAAGCCGAAGTGTACAGAGAAGTTCACGGAGGTAGGCCTAGGCCCACTGGGACTGTAGTGCTAAGAAAAAAAAAAAGGGTGAATGGCTTTCACTCATTCACTCACAGCCCCAGGAATAGTTCTCCCTCCCTTGCATCACTCTCTATCCATTTGGCTCATTCTTCTACCTTGTAGAGAGGCAACTGATTTCTCAAAAAAATGCTTACATCTGTCTACCAAACTACAAAGCATCTTATCCCAGAGGGCAGTAATCTTATTATTCTATTGTTTGTGCTAATGTGCTGCACATACCACATCATTAGGAACAGGTTCGTGCTGCAAAACGAAGTCCAATATGGGGTGCCTTGACTGTTTGACATCTAGGATCCTTCCAAAGTGTGGTCGAACATATGTGGAGACTGAACTCAAATTAGCGAATGAGATAAGCATATCCAGTTCAGCAATCACTTCACACAACTTGAACAAGCATCCGATATCATTCCTTATGTCTGCCAAAAGGTCACAAATTACGCTGGAATACAGACATACAAGAATACAGAAATCTGTCATGCATCTTCCCATAAGAAAGATAGATTTTGCTGAGGTACCACACTCTTTATATGATAAAAGACTCAAAAAGTTTAACAATACTTATACCAAAGCCTTCCAAAATTCAGGGTTATAAGTTACATACAGGGTGTGGCGCAGAAACTTCCTTTCTGTGAAGACGCATTGTGAAGGGAGGGGAGGTCGCAGAAAAGTGGGGATAGGCTCGGCAAACGCAGAAGTCATGGAAGTTTCTGTCTAATACTCCTCAGTAGGAAACATGAGGTGGACGAGTGAGCAGCATGCGTTTGCTGTTGAAGCCTATTTTTCGAACAACCATTCCTACATGGCGGTGCAGCGTGCGTTCCATATTCACTTCAGAATTAAGCCCAGAGGTCTGGTTCCCGACCGGAAATCAATTGTTTTGTGGGTAGAGAACTTTAGGACAACCGGGAGTGTGGTGAAAAAATCATCAGGATGACAACGGACTGTTATGACACCAGAAAATGTGGAGGCAGTTCGACAGTCGATTTTGAGATCTCCAAGACGCTCCGTTCGCAAACATGCAGTCGCACTAGACATATCCAATCGTTCAATGTGCCGAATTCTTCACGAACATCTTCATTTCCATCCCTATAAGATGGTTGTTGTACAAGAATTGTCACCACATGATTTCCAGAACCAAATAACGGCGTGTGAAATGTTATTGGAAACTTTATCCCCAGACGCACTTGTTTTCTTTAGTGATGAGGCACATTTTCACCTATCCGTATATGTCAACAAGTAGAATATGCGCTATTGGAGTGGTAACAATCCCAGAGAGCTCCATAAGAGGCCACTTCACAGTGATAAGGTGACAGTATGGTGTGCGTTGTCGAGAGTTGGAGTTATTCACCACTATTTTTTTTCGAAGAAGACAATCATGCAGTTACCATCAATTCACAGCAGTAAGTGGACATGATTAAAAACTTTTTCAAACCAGCTCTTGAAGAAATGCATCTAGGAAATGTCTGGTTCCAACAGGATAGTGCCACAGCCCACACAGCCGAGCTTCGATGACAGTTTTGAAGGCAAAGTTCCCCGGACAGCTCATCTCGCTTCGAGGTGACATCCCGTGGGCAGCGCACTCACCTGATCTAATGCCCTGTGATTTTTTATGGGGATACCTCAAGGCAGAGGTTTTTAAACATCGCCCCACAAACCTGCTTCAGCTGAAGAATGTTATTCGGCAGGAAGTAGTCCAAATTCCGGTGCACATGTTGGAACGTGCAGAGGCGAACTTCAGAAAACGGTTGCATCAGTGCATAGAGAACGGTGGCTACCACCTTCAAGATATTTTGTTTAAAACCACATGATTTAAAACTTTAAAGTATGTTCTTTCATTAGCTAAATATAAATTTTGTCTATCAGCAATAATTTTTCTTTTATTCACCTTCAAAAAAAGGAAGTTTCTGTGCCTCACCCTGTACTTATATAAGTTATACACACAGAGAATTAATAATAATTTTACCACCTAAATTCTTTTACACAGAAATTTTAACTTCTTTTTATGCTGTGGGAACCTCACACAGTGTCATAACAGACAACTCCCACAGTGCACCAAAAACAGGCAATATTTATACATCGCTTGCAGCCTGGCCCTCTGGACACCAACACAGGCACTATCCAATCAGCGCTCATAATCGCAGTTTCATCACCAACTGGTCTGCATGCCGCCTAATGGCATAAGTATAAAGCTGTGGGCCTTGGACATGCCAGCATCATGCAAAGGTGGCCACCTACACAAGGAGTGCCCAGAAAAAGGGAAACTCTGCCTCCACTCCAACATGCTGCAATTGCCTGTTGGTGGAGGGAGACAAACCACATCCCACCAATTATCGGGGTTGCAAATAGGCAAAGGAGAAGCAGCAGAAAAGGAAGCCACAGAGAACACCCAAAGCTACAATGGGGAGGGCGTTCTCCTCCAACATCATCACCCCAGATGTCTCCTTCGCTGCAGCACTCCATGGCAGCACAGAACAGTGGCAACAGCACCCTCAGGAAAACCAAGTTCCAGTGGCTTGTCCACCCACGAAAAGAAAGCAGATTGTAACGACCCCTGCACTGCAGAAGGAAACAGGACAGTCAGTTCATGCTACTCATGTAAACAGCCAACCTCTCAACAATATGTTGGCACTTGAATGGTAGGAAACAAAAATAGGTAACAATGAAGACACACCTCAGGGTATATGGCCCATTGTGAAATCCCTCTTAACCCGTTGCCGTGGTTCGTCGTGTATGTTTCGTCAGGGATTTAAATCGTCTGGGGGGGTTCNCATTGAAATTGCTGACTGGAAATTCAGTTCACACTGCATGACCTGGGTGACGAAAACCATGAACATCGCATGGAGGCCAGAGTTCAAGCTCTGCTCAAAACCACAGATGACAACCCCCCTCAAAGGATCAGACTATGTGACATACAAAAATTAATAAACTTCATGAAATTGAAAAAGGCCTGTGGAATTGACGGCATCCCAAATGAATGCCTCAGGCACCTTCCAAGGTGACCATTGGTTCACCTAAGTCATTTACTCAGTCACTGTCTTTGGCTCTCTCATTTTCCAAATACTTGGTAGGAAGCAAAAGTAATAACTTTACCTATACCTGGTAAAGATCCGAAATTCCTGCAAAATTTGCATTCAATTAGCATCCTGTCCATGACAGGAAAACTATTCGAAAAAGTAATTTTGAAATTGCTCCAAAAATATATTGAAGAAATAGGCCTGCTCAGTGCAAGTAAGTTTGGTTTTCGTGCACATCACAGCACGACATTGCAATGTATGAGGCTGACGGACCACGTGACCTTTAATTTCAACATTAAAATGTCTATGGCTGCAGTGTTCTTGGACATCGGAAAAGCCTTCGATACCACGTGGCATTCAGGCTTGCTGTATAAGTTATCAAAATTGGAATTCTCAAACAGTTTGACCAAACTTATGGGGTCCTTTATTTCTCAACGTAAATTCTGGGTTTTGGTTGAAGGCGAAATGTCAAAGCCAAGGGAAATGCAAGCAACATTCAGTCCTGTCCCTACTCTTTTCAATCTGTGTATTAATGATGCCCTCCCCAACACTTGGTGTTCACTTGGCCCTCTTTGTGGACGACACCTGTCTGTATGCGACAGATCACAAGGAGGGTTTTATTGTTAGAAAACTCCAGCGCGGTCTCAGCTCAATGGAGATCTGTTGTGAGTGCTGCAATATTAAAATTGATGAAGATAAGACTTGGGGGTCTACTTGTCTCGTGGTTGTCGACTGCCTGAGTTTTGTCTTACCTTAAGTGGATGAAATATTCCATTTGTATATAGGGCAAAATATCTAGGTGTAATCTTTGATAAGAAAGTTACATGGAGATTGCACATAGAAATTATCGAAGCTAAGGCCTTCAGAACATTCATTAGAGTATATTCCCTATTCAAAAATGAGCAATTGAGCGCTAACACTAAAATGACCCTCCACAAAGCTCTTAATAGATCTGTAATGACTTATGCTAGTCCCACCTGGAAGTTTGCGGCAGACAGCCATCTAGTGAAATTGCAGGGCCTGCAAAACAAGGTTCTCTGCACCACTGGCAAATTTCCAAGGTGCACACCAGTCCACGATTGTCTGACATAGAAAGTATAAGAGGCTTAAACTTGGCGGTGGTCAGGCATACGACCATTCAAGTGAATAGACTGCTGTGGTAGCAAATACTACCAGAAATAGGATATAATCTGCTGTACTGAGCCTGGATTGACAGAGGCCTTGTATATATAGTACATAGAAGTAGAAATTAAGGCTAGAATGAAATTGTAAATATATGTAAATACTGACAATAGACTGACTATAACTGGCAAATGACAGACCCGACCTCTCATCAGAGAGGGCGCCCCAAATGGACAGGACAGCAACTTTCACAAAGAAGAAAACATCTGGTCATGAGCCCCAGCTGGGGCTCGAGACCAAGACAAACAGACTGACTGAGCATCAGTTGCAACATGACTTTGACTTTGACTTTGACTTTGACTTTGACAAAGTAACATGTCTTGCATCAGTCACAGCCATCATAGCTATGCTGACAACAAGAAATTACTGCTGTTGTAACTTTCCTGTAACGGTGCACGCATCATAGGCAGCTGACTCTACCGGCGCACGCACCGCAGCACCACCGGTCAGCCAGGCTTGCCGCTGCAGCAAGAGAATGACATCGGGCTGCTACAAGAAGACACTGTTAGACAAAAGGGCCCTTTTCAGGGCCTGCATTTGACATTGTAATCGCTGGACTGGACTAGCCGCCACAAAAGGAGTCTCTGCCGGTATTTTTCAGGCATGCGCTCGCTCGTTTGTAATACACGTTCTAAATGCAACGAACATTTGTTGTTATAGCTTCAAGTAGTTGTCTCAGTGTACAACGACATCCCACAATGCATTTATTAATTCCTTCCCAATTTTCATTCTAAACACAGAAATATTTTAAATATTCTAAGTATGAGGGTCATACTGAAAGTCATGAGCAACAATTTTTTGTAAAGTAACATGCTTTATTATTGACAAACCAAATACACCACCTCAATCTACAGTCCTTTCTTTATTTTTCCACATAATCGCCACTTCTTTGTACACATTTCTCTCAGCGTTCTGGGAGTTTGAAAATTCCACTTCTGTAAAATTCCTTCTCCAGCCATCCGAAGACACTGATGCACTGCTTTCTGAATTGCCTTCCCTGTCTCAAAACGTTGTCCATACAGCTGATCCTTCACAAATCCGAAAAGATCGTAGTTGGAGGGTGCCAGATCAGGGTTATAGGAGGGGTGTGGAAGAACTTCCCACCCCATCTTTGCCATTGCTTCCAATGTGAGGCGAGCGGCATGGGGGCGAGCGTTGTCATGCAGGATGATGCTGTTTTGTCCCAGACGTTTATCGCGCAATGCACAACGGAGCTTGTGCAGCGTCTGGACATAACGAGCAGCATTGATGGTTTGCCCAGGTTCCAGGAATTCGGCCAGAATAAACACCTCTGCATCCCAGAAGACTGTGCCCATCACCTCTGCAGCTGATGGCACTGTCTTTGCCTTCTTTTTTGATGGAGATTGCAAATGGTGCCATTCTATACTCTGCCATTTCGTTTCAGGCTCGGAATGGTGAAACCAGCTTTTATCACCTGTCACAATACAGAGCTAAAAATCATCGCCTTCATGTTGATATCTCTGCAGCAGTTCTGAGGTGATGGCTTTTCGCTGACCTTTGTGGTCTTCGGTCAATAACTGCGGGACCCAACGAGCACAAACTTTCCTATAGCCCAAGCTTTCAATCATCTCCTGTACTGCACTGTGCCCTATTCCAAGTTTTCGGGCTACTGTGTCCACAGTCACACGTCTGTCATCTTCGGTGATCTCATCCACTCTTTCCTTGTTGCATTCAGTTGAGGCTGTTCGAGAACGACCGCTCCGAGGCTCATCTTCAATGCTGGTATTCCCGTCTTTAAAATGTTTCACCCATCTTCGAACACTGCTCGCATCCATGCACACACTTCCATAAGCAGGCTGAAGTCTCTGGTGAATTTCTGCAGCAGGGATTTCCTCTTTCACAAGAAATTCAATGACAGCACGCTGGCAAAATGACATGTGGTTGTTGGCCATTTTGTTAGGAGTGATACTGGTCACGTGATGCAAGCTATCGATGTCACAAGACACTCAAGGTTAACACAACAGCTGGTTCCACCAACCACCATACTCTCTTTCATCTGCTGTTCCCATGTAGCATGCAAAAAAAGTTGCTCATAACTTTCGGTACGACCTATGTACTAATGATATGATCATCTGAGAATACAGGTCATAACAACAAAGTCTTAAAGTCTTTATGGCTTCAATTCAGTACAGCTCAGGCTGTGGACTGGACAAGCAACTTATCAGGGTTTGATTCATTGTAGGGGCAGAGATTTTTGTTCTCCTCTCTTGTGCCCCGACTGGCTCTGGGGCATATGCAGTTGTTGTGAGGCTTTCCCAAAGGTTAAATGTTTGGGACGTGAAACTGATTGCTCATCGTTTTCTAGTACCAAGATTCAGAATGCAAGGAGCTATACCTCCACTCCACATCCATCTTCATGACATGGTGGTTAATTAGCACAAGGAAGAATATACCTTTACCTGTACACTAACAGAAACAGTCGGCTAAAGCCTTACTTCTTAAATCCTTATTCTAATTTATGACATGACATTTTGTTAAATCCTATATATATATATGTATGTAGAAAAGTCAGGTCCTTATTCTAATTTATGACATGACAGTTTGTTAAATCCTATATATATGTAGAAAAGTCAGGTAGACAACAATGAAGTATGTTTTAAACTGCTACTTCAGTTAGTGAAGTCACAGAAGATGTTGTTGATAGTGAGTAATGAATGAAAAGACTGATGGATCAGATGGCAAAGAAAATGAAAGAACTCCATTAAATTCTGCTTCTACACAGATAAAGTTCTCTCTCATAAGAGATATCAGAATCTGATTACTGCATACATCTATATGGTAGTCATTAAGTTCGTGGACTGTGGTTTATCGCATCATATTGCAATATACTCACATACACATGCACAGATCCACATTGGCCTTCAAAATAGTTGCCGTTGGCCACTATTCAAGTCTGCCAACATTGATATAGCTGCCGAGAACACTGCTGAAACATATTGGTAGGAAATTCCCGTACCGCATCTCTTGTGGCATTGATGACCTCCTCAGATGACTGAAATCTATGACCACATAGCTTTGCTCTGAAGCGGTGAAAGAGAAAGAAATCGCATGGTGTAAGATCAGGTGAGTACGGAGGGTGTGGCAAAGCGGTGACCTGTTGCCTTGCCATTTCCTCTTGGACAAGAACAGAGCGATGTGCAGGGGCGTTCTCATGTAGCAACAGGCAATTGTTCATATGCCAAACGTTTCGCTAAGGGACTTTCCTAGTTTTTGGTAGAACTTGATGTTTGCTCGTTGTTTAAACTGCCACATTTTCGGTTTCTGCCACTTGCATTTAACTGCAGTTCACAATAGAGGCCATAGTTCTGCTTACACTGTTTGCACACAACTGCCTCTTGATATGACAAGAGATGCACTGACAGGACATCAGATCGTGCCTCAACCTATCCGCTGTAGTGCACTGCAACAATACTTTGTGGCCAGTCCACGAACTTATTGACTGTGGTAGTATATAGTGGGGCTAGTAAGAACTATAAATAAATAATTACATATTTTTATTATTAATACATCTGAATAGTTTCCATTAGCATCAATGTCCCACATGTATGAAATTTCTGAGAAGTACTGAGAGAAAACAAGGAGGAGTAGAATTAGAAAGCACAATTTTAGAGAAGTTAAAATTCAAAATTTGTTGACAGACTAAGAAAAGAAACAATTATAATGGCTCAAACAATAATACTGAGAAGGGCAAATAAATTTGAATTTAGAAAAAAGAGACCTATGAGGTAACCCAGAACAAGATGGTTCACCCGGATACTGGAAGACACCAAAAGAGAAGAAAGAACCAGTGAGAAATTTAAAAGGGGATGATTGTCTGAAAAAAGGAGAGACTAAGACCTAATGTCAGTCAACTCATATAAAGTTGAACTGATACTAAAAAAAGAAGCTAGAGTCCAAGTATATCAAATAAATTTACGTTCATAACCTCAAAATGTATTAAAGTTTCTAGTGTCTGAAACATAATGGTCTAATCATGAAATATTCACTCACTACCAATTTTATTAGAGAGATGATTCAACAAGAGTTAAATGACAGGCTGATTAAAAGCGTAAAGCAGAAACCATACTTACACATTACTCAGCATCACAATTTCCTTGACTGCTTCCTTACTTCTTCGATCTATCTGAATTAACTCTTGAGTGGTGAATGACAGAGTGCTTCGATTCTTATGAACCTGAAAATTAAGCATATCAAATGAATTTAATGCATACAATTACAAAAATTCTGAAAAAGTTTCTTTTTATTTCTTTTCCCTTTCATCATCACTACAACATTTCACATTTTCCGAAGGCATTCTTTGCATGAACTGCATAAAACAATATAGGAATGACATGAACATCTTTCATCTTTAGCTTCATTCCAATCTTGAACCAATTTTTTCAGATTCTGATTAATTTGATATGATAAAACCTACCTACAACTTAAAGATAAAATTTTAATTTTGAATATCTCTTTCTGAAGCATTAAATATTTATGTACATTTCTGTCATTAAACATGCATAAAATTCAAAACTATCTCAGAAAAATTAAAAGTAGAATTGTCCCCAGTACTTAGTTAAGCACCGCACCATGAATACTCATGTGTATGGTGAGTGGAAGTATAGCAGCACATATTCTTAACCTTGATGCTAGAGAGAAGTGAATATTAAGTTTCTTGTTCTGGCCAACTTACCTCTAGGAGAGAGATCCTGGTAACTCCTGTAAAGTAGACTGGGTGGACCTCAGGTGGTATGGATGTGGTATTGATGAGAAGATATCAGCCCAGTTGTAAATTATATGCATGCAGCAGCCTCTTATTAATAATTTATTTTATATCCATATCAGTGAATATGCTTCTACATTTATGGTGCTGTAGCCTTGTGTTCACCTCAACCTCCCCATTGATTCCTATGCAGCATTTATTTCCTTCCATCTACAGAATCCAGGATACTGCATCACTCATTCAAAACCATATAGTCACCTCAGATTTTGATCTCCCCATTATTGCAGTACCACTGATTTAAAGAAAATTAATTTTCTCATGGGAGTACATTTCATTTACGGTGAAGAGATATTCCAGCCACCTGAGCCCTCCTGTTTTAATTATTTTAATTACATCTGTCCCATCATACAACTGAATCATTCTGAACTGTATCTAATCACTGAATATGAACAAAGTAAAAAAACACAGTTGAGATGGGTCAGATTTGAGATTCTCACAAGAGTGACTTGAAAAATTATTTTCTTACTACACTCTGTAGTCTGGCAGATGTCCCCAGTGTTTTCACAGAAGATGCTACCTCAGTATTCAAGGTAGAAGTGTAATATGAGCATGGGAAATGGTAGTGCAGATATACAGAGAGCAATAATTAGACTAGGAACACTGAACAGACCACATACTCGTAGAATAAGGAGAACAAGAAATAAACCAATTATCTGTATATCTGTACCACAATTTCCCAAGTTCAGCTCATTCTTCTACCATGATGGAGGCAGCAGGTTTCTTCAAAATGTCATTAATCATCTATCAGACTACCTGGCATTAAAATTCATAGGACAGTAATCTCTGTATCAGATAGAATTTATAGATATCAATGTTGTAATATTTGTTACTGCTTACATGTTAATCATATGATAAAAAGTTTCATATGAGGGTCAGTCAAAAAGTTCCTGGAATGGTGGTATTGAAAGGTAAGCCTAGCAACCAACAAGAAGCATGCAGCAAGTAGAGTTGGTTGCTTGCTTTGTTTGCTCTTCAACCCTGAAGAAGGTGGCAGTATGTTCTTCTGAAACATCGGTAAACTTCTACCAGACTACGTGGCATCAAATGGCAGAACATAGCACTCTTTATAGTCACTGCCTTCTGAACCTCAAATTCAACATAATTATGAGGGGGTACCCAAAAGAAACCGAACTTATTTTTTTTTAAACTTATTTATTCAAATTTTAAGCATAAACCTTCAATCCCCTTCAAAGTACTCTCCACTTACACTAATACACTTGTCTAGTCTTTTATTCCATTTTTCAAAACATTGTCTAAATTCATCTTTTGAGATGCTTGACAGTGCCTCCGTCGTTTTTTCCTT